GGAAAACTAATTTTCTCGAAAAATGGATGACTACGAGTAACGAACATAAAACTTTTAAGATTCGATTACGCGAACCGTTATAAATTTGAAATTGAATTTCATCTAGAACGCGGTTCATTCGCAACTCGGTCGTTATCGTTAAAACGATCGAAATACATTTATCTATCAATGTAAAATGATTTTCAACGTTTCGTTGGAAAAGAATATATATATATATATGATAGTGGTTTTTAAAATGACGCATTTCTTAAATTTCTATCTCTAATCTCGAGATAGAGGTAAATGAAAAGCAAAAAGAATGGAAGCTGTACGCTAATGAGCGAGAAACGAAACGGAGGGTAAAAAACGAAAGGAAGACGATCTTCCTGCAGAAGAACGCCCACGAATTGAATGTACGGGCTCGATTCCATTTGATTCCTCATCGGGCTCGTTCCAGCTCGTTATCTCACAATAGGCGGGAGAAAGATGAGGTGAAAAGCGGAAATAATAAGAGGAAGAAATTGAACGGAACGATCGTGTTCTTCGCTTGTTCGCCAACCGTACGATATTTCAATGAATTTTCAATCGATGATGAAACGTAATATCTCATTTATGGATTATTAATCGCTACATAACATCGTTATCCATCGCTGTTACTCCCACTATAATTTGGCAAAATTTTAAATTATTATCAAACGCGTTGCAAATTGTAACGTATAAATATAAAACGTGGGAAAATTTGAAATATCGTCGTATCGATGTATCGACGAATCATAGGATAATTGACGTATGTCGCGTTTTAATAATTTTTATCGAAACGACAACGAAAGTTCCTTTTTTGTCCCTCTTATCCCCAACTACGGGCATAGCAAGTTTGCTCCCTTTTCCATGCATCTTATACACATCGGCACGACCGTGGTCTCGAGAACGCCTTTAGAAGACATTCCCGACATCCATTGACCTACATCGAAGCTATGGGTCGTAAAAGGAAGAAAGACAGAACGATCGAGAAGAAAGCAAGAAAAGATAGACTTTCGTATAAATAAGCTGTTCGGAACGTATTAAATCAAATCGTACACGCGTTCAAATTTTCTTTGAAAAAAATCTTTTTTCAACGAAACCTCGTGCGAGATCGCGATATCCTTATTTCGAGTAATTTAAATTTAAATATCGCATATGTGAAAATAATTCGGAATTATATCTCGTAATTATTTTATTCGACCGATTATTTAAAATACGGATCGTTGATATTTTGCGTCGAATACATATACATGTACCAACTATTTATTTACACAATGTAAATTTTCGAAAATTGATGAAATTTATAAAGCATATTGATATTAAACGCACATCGACTCGAGGACTTCAAGGATAAAAAAATATGGAACGATACGATACGTCTTTTCAGCTACCATTTTTCAATTATAAGTTATTTCATTTTTTACTGACCAATATTTTTACGCATATGTAAACAAATCTGTTTTATATATATATATTCCTTTTGAAAAGTAACGAGTATTTTATTTTATTTGTCTTTGGTGTAGTAAAAATGAAAAATATTATATCGTTTTTCCGACATAATAGTTTCGGAAAAAATAATTAGTATCAAGGACACGGAAAGAAGTTGATGATCGGGCGAAAATTTATGAATATCTATCGTGATTACCTTCTTGCTCGCGTACACGCTCTTTTAAAAGTTCTGTATTCACCGAGGCTTCGAGACATCGAAGTAAACTAGGCTAAGTACGCGACACCGCTAGAGCTTGGAATTATTGGAAAACTAAAGCGAATTCAGTTCAATGAGTGAAAATTTGTTCGCAACTTCAAATGTCACCTTCATCGGTGTGTCTCGAATCAAATTGTTACGAGCGATTCGCTAGTAAACAGTATGATTATTACCACGAATTACGTATCGTAATCGAATTACGTAGTCGAGATCAATAAACTTGTCGATCTTTTCGATCAAATTTCTTCTCATGAAGTTATTTTAATCAAATTATAAGCTAAATGTATATTTAATCAAAACCTCGGCAACTCTTCTCAACAGCTAAAATCCCTTGTTCAAACGTAGCGACAAATTAATCTAATGACGACAGTAGTAAGCGCTTAAATTGAAAAGTCTTGACAAGTCGCGATCACGGAACATTGTTGTTGAATTTTGTTCTCCGCTTAAAATTTCGTTCGAAAACGATAATTGTAAATGAGTAGGATTTCAATTAATCTAACATAAATTTAAAAAAGAATTAAAAAATTTTGCGTAAACTTTTAATTCTTTGAATAATTAAAATTATTCGATTCATTTTTTGTTTCAATTCAACTTTATATCCGTTAAACGAAAATATTTATTAAGAATTTATCCTTTTTCCATTCCATTCCACGATTTTCATCGTTCTCGTCTTTTCCTGTTTAAACTAAAGTTAAATGAAAATGATATTTGGAGTAACGTTATTTCGAATCGGATAAGCACGCATTAATAACGGACCAATAAATATAGGTTAATCGTTGCAATACCTTAAACGAAGCTACAACATATCGACTATTGGAAAACGGTATACGTATACGTATATCTGTTAATAAGTAATATTTCTTAAAAATATTTATACAATATACAGATTATCCGTAAGGGGAAAAATGTTGTATAAACGAATAAAAATGTGAAATGATTTCACATTTTTACACAAGATGGATACATGGATTTTGGTCATCGCAGTTGCAGTTTTCAAATCGTCGAAGAAATTAAGATTTAATTCGATCGAGCATTCAACGATTCGATCGATGATCGAGCAAACTATCACTGTTTTGTTATCGGACAAGTTCCTTGTTAAATCGAGTCTATCGATTGCCAGTTGAAGTGGTAGCAAACTTGACTTACCCTCTCCATATGGCCTCCGCTAACGACCTCCGGTGTGTTAACGCAAACCACCCTTTTTAAGCGCAGTTTGTTAACGTGAAAGGCTGAACCGTAGCAATACATCAGCACCATCGTTGTAGGAAAATAAAAACAACAACACGCGAGAATTCTGAAAAAATAAAAAAAAAAAAAAAAAAGAAGGAGAGATAATAACTGATAATAATAAATTTGTCTTTTTACATGTATAAATTATCGAATGTATTCGAATCGAAAGTATACTATACGTTAGAGATTTATAATTGGCCGATTCGACAAATATCTCGATTACGATGCTTTGAGAGGAAAATATTCAAATTAAACGAATGAACATTAACAGAGATAAATATAAATATTTGGAAAAAGAAGAAAACACACATTGATAAAAATATATACGATATATTACTCGATACACGAATAAAATGATATCCTGTTTTTCATATCATTGAATACAATTTATAAACTTTCCTGGATTACTTATTATCGAATTACCAATTCTTTGGCGATATTGCGATCAATCGATCAGATTTACAAAAAGGTACGAAATTTTTTACTTTCGAAAATTCGTCTAAAATCGAGTGTTTATACATGATATTTTCCATGCACATTGGGACTGCAATTACCTTCTCGGAACTCGTTCGAAAAACGTTCCGAAATACATTTTCCTTCCTATTTTATTTTCTCATCCTTCCTTATGCATGTCCATCTCTTGTGTGAAGACAAGAGACAACTATATATTCGATATATCGTATCAAAATTATATTTTTATGTTTCGCGATGGATCGCAATATCGAAGAATGGATTTATCGATATCGTTATAATTAACAAAACTGGCTAATCTAGTAATGTTATAGGATGTAAAATATGCGGCGAAGCGAGTTACCTGAGGGAAGCTCTGGCGAAAAAAGGATCACAGGCGAGAAGACCGGAATCGTTGAAGTAATAACCACCTCTTGGAAGCACGAGAGCACCGAAAATTGCCACGCTCGCTATCCAAGTAGTCGACATCACTGCCACGCAACCCTGCCGCATGTAATACTGCGTCACATACACAGAAAATAATCATTCTTCTTTTATCTTTTATCAAGCGTACAATGCGAGGCTGCGAGGATTCAGACGAACGACACGGTACGCGATCTTGGATTAATGGATTAGTCGCCCAAATATATATATTATAAAGTTATCCAATTGTCGCGTATTTGTTCAAAATGACGCGTCGCTCGTCTATCTAGTTTACACATGTATAGCGATATGTATCGTAGGTATACCGGTTAAACGTTTCAATCTTGAGCATTTCAAAAAGAGTAATTAAAAAAAAAAAAAAAAAAAAAAAAAAAGAAATACATTGATTATTAATATATAGTAAAACGCGTTACTTTTAATTTTAGATAATTCCGTGATAATTTTATATTTTGAATCGATCGAAAGAAAGACCGAATATAAACATTTTGGTAAATTATAATACATATGTATATGTATATATCATTAAACAGATTCGTTAAAATTAATATTTCATCCGATTCGATTAAAATACGTTTTTTGTACATATCATTTGTGCAAATTTGTCGCTTCAAGTATCATTATTGTCGATTCCTCCTGTATAGAGGAGATACCATGTGTCAAGGTCGTTCGATATCGATCCATTTCCAAAAGTATCGTATTACCGATAACCGGAATTATAAACGCACAATTTTGAGCGTTTTGAACGTTGTCGATACACGTAAGAATATATATCGCGATATCTAATATTCGGGATGTCATCTTGCGATGTCTCTTCACACGTGGAAAATGATTCTGTAGGATTTTCTAGAAAAATCACGAAAAATAGAAAAAAGATATTAAAATTGAAATTTGTCTTGATTTATAAGTATATTATGCTCGTGCTACACTCGTGATAAACTAATAGATAAGAGCAAGCAATTGATTTTTGCCGTTTGTAATTTCGTGTAATTTCGATATATTGCTTTTATATTATTTTGATATAAATCATGATTAATTATTTTTGTATTATCGTGCATAATTATACGAGCAACAAAATGAAAATGATTGAAAATAATTGATTATAAATCTTGCTTGTTTTTGTACAAGTATCCCAGCACGATTTTCGAAATAGCACGGAAATAGTGGAAAGCGATAAAAAAATTTTCTTTTCGACTGTTTCAACAACCAAGTGAATTAAATTAGAGAAAGGATCGTATCGATATACCGTGTTCGTTTACCATCTCTACCGTCTCTATCTCATCCGAATCCATTTTTCTTGTCTCTCGATCGGTTTATACACTACTAGCGCATTCAATAATTCAATAATTTGTTGACTTTTGTATACATGTATATATAAAATTTGAGAAATCGAGTGATTTTAAAACTATATATATATAT